ACTATATATACTCTTCTCACGAGAGGGGGAGAGAGGCAAGCGGACATTCTAACTGGTGCACTGGCCAAGTGATAAATTTTTGTTATTTTCGGACGGGTCGTCTTGTATTCGATAGTATTACATCCTGTTTTCGTTATATTCCTTTATGCAAAGTCATCAATATTTCACACGTTCCAAAACTAAATCTGATCATCCTTCCAAAGACTCCACAATTTCATCATCAATTAGTGAACTTCGTGATTCATTTTCGATGGCAAATTCTATCACAAAAGCTGAAGATTCATCCCAATCATATAGTGATCATATACTGAATCCTGCATTACACTCTCATTTTGGTACACAACATCCAACTACGGAACCAAAATCATTACCATCTCATCATTCTTTGAAACCATCATCGGTACGATTTTCGTATGAATCCGATCAATTATTACAAAATGAAGTTGATCGTCTAAAGGCTGAATTACAGATGTTGAAATCTTCTTCTCAATCATTAATTGATCAAACTAACCCTCTGAATCTTCAATCAACCATATCATGTCCAACGAATGGTCCGACTCAATTGTCTACCATCACTTCAACTACTCCCTCGATTCAATATGTTATTAATATTGATCCATTACAACAAATGAAAGATTTTGTCAAACCATTTTTCGGTAATCCTGAAGATGATGCGTCTAAATGGCTCGCCAGTATTAATCATTTTTTTGATATCATTCGTCTACCCGGTAATAAGGATGAATTATGTTTCCAATATGCTCCAGCATTTTTAAAAACATATGCATATCGATGGTGGACAGAAAATAAATCTTTTATTGGCGATTGGTCGTGTTTCAAACAAATGTTCACCGAACAATTCGGCGAAAAGAATGAATACCTATTGGAACAACAAATGAATCAACGTAAACAACAACCCAATGAACCAGTTATTAAATATTATTATGATATGATGGAATTATGTCATAAATGCGATCCGACTATGTCAGATAAACAAAAAATTCGTAAACTTATTTTAGGATTACGATTGTCATTGTATCAAGAGGCGATTAAAGATGATTATTCTACACCGAAAGAATTTCTAGTTAAAGTTCAACAACTGGAAAATATAGAGAAGCTAGTGCAATTACGTCAAACTTCGATTGACGATTCAACAATAAGACAACAACATAATAATGATCCAAGTTCTGGTCCACAGATTGAATCATCTTCTTACGTTTACCATCAAAATCCATCATCATCATTTTCTTCACATCAATCCTATCAATCAAATGTTCAACCAGATACATATGATTCTCGTTATTATCGTACATTTCCCAATCCAGGTCGTGCTTCACAATCATCTTCGTCGAATAAAAATTTTCAGTCTTCATCAAATTCAATACCATCACAGTCAAATAAACCTTCACGTACAAAGGATATTCAATGTTATCATTGTGGGAAGTGGGGACATTTCGCTCGTAATTGTTATCAAAGAAATAATCCCTCATCATCTCCATCTGTATCTCGTCAACAAAAAAACCAATAACAGAGGTGTTTGATGGTGACTCCTCTGTATCAATGATAAAACCATCGTCTTTATCTTTTATTTCTGCTCATGTTCATGATATTCAATTACCATGTCTTCTTGATACCGGTGCTACACATTCATTTATTCATACATCCATTGTTCGTCGTCTTCGTAATGTCTCAATTACAAACATTAAACAACGTTTCACTTTAGCTGATGGTAATACCAACGTTAACATCATCGGTATTGTTCATCTTAATCTTCGTATTGGTCAAATCACAACACCTATCTCTGCTTTTATTTCGAAATCGTTATCTCATCTCTGTATTCTCGGACAAGATTGGTTGAATAAATATTCGGTAGATATCTGTCAATCCACACAACAAGTGATTATTCATACTGCTGAATCGAGTGTCAAGATTCCAATGGACCATCGTATTAATCAACACCATTTTCCTCTTAAATCAACCATTGCAATCATTATTCCACCACAACATGAAAGAATTATTGAATTACAATCACCTATATCATCTTCTCCTCAAGTTATTTTTCGTCCAAACCGAGTCCTTCAATCTCATAATCTTGTTGCTATACCTAATGCCCTGCTATCTATTGACAAATATCGAACATATACCACTGTTGTTAATCCTACTAATAGAATATGCCGTATTCCTATTAATACTACGATTGGTACATTTACTATTCCACCACCTAATCTCGAATGTCATAGTATTACTCTATCACCTACCATCGATCAATCGACTCCATCATCTCCTTCGCTATCATCGGACTTGAATGTTCCGACTTCGATGGACAACATTTTCAATGAATTACTAGCTCATTTATCGGATCCTGATCAGAAACTCATTCTTTATCAATTATTGAAACAATATCAATGTTTATTTGATACATCCGTTCCTTCCATTGCTAATCTAACTGCTCCACCTATGATTAACACTGGTTCACACCCTCCTGTTCATTCACATGTGTATCGTACTGATCCCATTAAACAAAAGCATCTCACTGATACGATTAATGAAATGTTAAAACATAGACAAATAGAAAAATCTTATGCCAGCTGGTCTTCACCTGTCATTTTAGTAAAAAAAAAGGACGGAAGTTATCGTTTTGTTGTTGATTACCGCTCCTTGAACAATATTACTGAACGTGATTGTTATCCATTGCCACGTATAGATGACACGTTAAATCGATTAAATGGTAATAATTATTTTACAAAGCTTGACTTGAAATCGGGTTACCATCAAATTCGTATTCATCCCGATGATAAAGATAAAACAACTTTTGTTACATCACATGGAGCTTTTCGTTTTAATGTAATGCCTCAAGGGCTTAAGAACTCTCCATCGAATTTTCAACGTTTAATGTACGATTTATTAGTCAGTTCTAGATGGGATTATACTCTTGTATATCTTGACGATGTGGTGATATTTTCTCGAACATTCGATCAACATGTTCATCATTTAAATGAAATTTTGTCCATTTTATCATCAGCTCGTCTTCAATTGAACCCCCAAAAATGTTCCTTTGTTAAACAAGAAATTGATTACCTTGGCCATACCATTAATGGCCAAGGCATACGTCCATTACAATCAAACATCGATGCGATTTTACAACTTCCTATACCATCTACACCGAAACAAGTCCATTCTTTCGTTCAAGCGGCCAATTATTATCGTAATCATATCGAAAATTTTTCTAAATTAGCAGCACCGTTGTTCCCATATACAAAGAAGAATGCCATTTGGATAGGTTGGACCGACGCGATGAACAATGCTTTTATCGAATTGAAACATCGATTAACTGAACCACCAATATTTTTAAATTTTCCCGAAGATGATGGACAATTTATTTTGTCAATAGACGCTTCTGGTGAAGGTATGGGTGGAGTCTTACGTCAAATGACATCTAACGGATTAAAGGTTATCAAATACATTTCCAAGAAATTTAATTTGGCCCAAAAGAAATATTCAACTACAGAACGAGAATGTTTGGCGTTAGTTTGGTGCATTCAGAAACTAAAAGAATATATTTGGGGTCGGCCTGTTGAAATTGAAACCGACCATTGCCCACTTTGTAGTTTTAATAAGAAGAAATTCAATAATTCACGTATCGATCGATGGCAAGTTGAATTGTCAGAATATCATATCACCAAAATTACTTATAAACGTGGCCGATGTAATTGTGATGCTGATTTATTGTCTCGATTCCCTTATGATGAAAGTGATATTGATGATAATGGTCATCCTCATCGTGTTCGATGTTTTACTTCAACATTAACTTCATCGACTCAACCAATACAACTCAATGTTATTACTCGATCAAAATCCAAAGCTATACAACAATCTTCATCTCCTACATCTCCATCAGCAACTGTTCCTTTATCTTCCGATAGTTCTACTATCCATCATCGTTCAATATTCGACCTATATATTGATCGCATTCGAATCGAACAAATGAAAGATGTTAATCTCTCTAATCGAATCAAATCTATTTTAGCACAACCCGATCAATATTCTCATGAAATTGTCGATAATGGCATCCTGTACAAAGTGATTAATCGAATTGATGGGTCTATCATACAATTACCATGGTTACCAGCATCATTAATTCCAGATGTTTTATTTTTATATCACGATCATCCAATGAGTGGTCACTTTGGTGTCACTCGAACATTTCACAAAGTTCGAGAACAATTCTTTTTCCCTCGCATGTATGACCATATTAAACGATATATTCGCTCGTGTAGTGCTTGTGCTCAATTTAATGTTCAACGACAAAAGAAACCAGGATTTTTACAATGTGAATTACCACCTGATGGAGTTTTCGAAATTATGCAAATGGACTTTTGGAAAGCACCAGTTCGTTCATCCAATGGTAATCAATACGTTTTAATAATTACTGATCGTTTATCAAAATTCGTTTTTGCTCGTGCTTTACCATCAGCTACTGCTGCAGCTGCAGCTGAAATGCTTTTAGAAGATATTATTCTTAAACATGGATCTATTCGTTATCTCCAATCCGATCAAGGATCCCATTTTCGTAATGAACTTTTATCTGCAATCACAGCTTTAACTGGTTGTCAACAAGTCTTTTCTATTCCTTACCATCCAATGTCTAATGGGCAGGTGGAACGGTTCAACTCGACGTTTTGTGATCAATTGAAGAAATATTGTCATCATAATTTGACTGAATGGGATAATTATTTGTCTGCTGTTGTATGGGCTTATAACTCTACAGTTCATTCGACCACTCAGTTTATTCCATATGAATTAGCTTTTAATCGACGTCCACTATCTCCATTTGTTCCTACTCCAACTGCTATAAAACTAATGAAACCACATGATTATTGAGAGAAAACTAATCGTTTTAAATCATTCGCCCTTCGATCAGCTCGGATTAACATTCAACAACAACAGATTGCTAGTAAAGAACGCTATGATCAAGGTCGTCGTCATCCTATATACAAAGCAGGCGATTTTGTTTGGTTAAAACATTCCATCAATCGAACGAAATTCGGTGTACGCTTCGATGGTCCATTTGTCATCATCAATCGTATCAATCAGGTTAAATATCTTATCGAACACACTGAATTAGGTTATCGTCAGTATGAACATCTCAATAATCTTATT